CTGAATGACAAGACGTACTTTGGTTATTCATTTAAACAGATTGGATGAGCTACAGTTGACTGAATGACAAGACGTACTTTGGTTGCTCAGATTAAAAACATTCATTTAAACAGATTGGATGAGCTACAGTTGACTGAATGACAAGACGTACTGTGGTTGCTCATCGTAATCACCGCTTTTTAAATACTTCTCTTCCTTATCGACCGATAAATAAATAAAAACATTATCAAATGGAAATATAGATATATTGTGGAACTAATTTATTAAAATCAAGCATATTTTACCGAGATAATAACGTGTTCTATTAATTAATCAAAGTAGTAGCGTATTACCTTATTTCATTCATTATTCTAAAGAATATTTTAAAGAAGAAACTACAAGTATAATAAATGATCTTCTGGTAATGTCTATATATGATAAATTGTAGCTACAAGATAACGATTCTCGTTCTTATCATAAGAGTCAAGATCAGCGAAGTATTAACCGAATTACCAAGTATCTACAAAACTAGTGTACCATAACTACCAATTATCAAATCTCTTCAAAAGTAGTAAACGATATCTATGAGATAAAAGGTCTACAAATTAACAGAATCTCACTATTAGCTTTTAAAGTCTGTATAAAGTTAGTATATTATGATTATGGATTAGCTAGGGTGATAATACAATACTGATTTAATAATAACGTAATATATTTATTATATAACGTGGTCCGGTCCGCAGGACTTCACGCTGGACTTTTACTTCCGCCAATTCTGGTTAGACGAACGTCTATCTTTTAAGGCTGGTGACCTTCAAAGTTTGTCAGTGGGTGCAGAAGTGGCTGACCGGATATGGGTACCGGACACTTTCTTCGCCAATGAGAAGAGCGCCTACTTTCACCACGCTACAACTCCGAATACATTTCTCCGGATTGGTCACGACGGAAGAATCCTGAGAAGTATTAGGTGAGTGTTTATCTCTTCAATGAGTAAGGTAGGCCTAGTGCAGATTAATCTAAAGCTAATAAAACGATGTTCTTTTTCAACTCAGGGTTTATTTAACCTAATAAAACCAGTCTGTATTCTGTCCACAGAAGATACAGGGTTTGTCCAAATCAGAGTACTTTTATTTGTGCTTCTTATTACAAACCTTTATCATTATAACTATTCTTTTAGGTCATAATACATTTCTTGTTACTTGACTTTTCCACAAGTATAAAAAGAAACAAATACTGGGAAAGAGCAGTTAACTATTCGATATTCTTAAACTAAGTTACCGTAACTATAATGATAAACAACTAGTGTACCATAACTACCTTGTAGATACTTGATAACTGGTAGTTATGGTACACTAGTTTTGTAGATACTTGGTGATTAGTAGTTATGTACACTAGTTTTGTAGATACTTGATAATTGATAGTTATGGTACACTAGTTTTCTAGATACTTGATAACTGGTAGTTATGGTACACTAGTTTTGTAGATACTTGGTAATTGTAGTTATGGTACACTAGTTTTGTAGATACTTGATAATTGGTAGTTATGGTACACTAGTTTTGTAGATACTTGATAATTGGTAGTTATGGTACACTAGTTTTGTAGATACTTGGTGATTAGTAGTTATGTACACTAGTTTTGTAGATACTTGATAATTGATAGTTATGGTACACTAGTTTTGTAGATACTTGATAACTGGTAGTTATGGTACACTAGTTTTGTAGAGACTTGATAAGTGGTAGTTATGGTACACTAGTTTTGTAGATACTTGATAATTGTAGTTATGGTACACTAGTTTTGTAGAGACTTGGTAATTGGTAGTTATGGTACACTAGTTTTGTAGTGTATTGGTGACTGGTAGTTATGGTACACTAGTTTTGTAGTGTATTGGTGACTGGTAGTTATG